TAATAGAGATGCATTGATTTTGTGTCTTCTCCCGTCCCGCAGGAGAAAACACGTCATTTTATAGGCTATTAATAAAGAGATTCATGGGGTTGTTTGTTTCGTTTCCCTGGTCTGCATGTCTTTTGACGCACTGGTCAGGAATAGTGCTCCTATTTCGTTGTTTTCATTTAGTTTTTAATGAAATAAAGGCTGTTTCATATTCTATTCTCCTCTGTATTTTATTTATTTTTCTACCTTTATATAATCACGCAGTGATTGAGGTTAAGGCAAGCCCGGCGCCAGGATGAAGTTACTGAGGGGGCGGTTAAAAATTACGAGGGGGCAAATCTTTATTATGCAACATAGGTTCACACAGTGAGTTATAAAGAGCGCGCAGACGTGCGTAATAGTCGCACGTAATGACAGCTTGTCGCCGGTGAAACACAATAAACTGCATGTCTTCTTTCATGTTTGTCTCATGACAGATGGAGCTGACAGACAGACAGACAGACAGACAGGTGGAGCAAGTGGCAAATTGGTATGAAAGCTGGTTCAGGGCATATTCGTCCATTTATGAATAAATATGGAGTGGAAACGCTCATGCATGTGCACCAAGTTCCTGTGTTGACATCCTGCCGCTAGGCTACATCTTCTTCTTCTTCTTTTTCTGCTTCTTCTTCTACTGTTTAATGGGGACCCGCGGCGGGACCCAATCCCAATGCAGCCCTCTAAGTCAGAGTACAAAAGTTATCCGGGCCATGGCCCCCCTGGCCCCCCCGGTTCCGCGGTCTATGCTAGAGGTGACCGGGCCTTTGAGTCCATTGCACCCAGATTGTGGAACGCCCTCCCACAGAATTTGAGAGCTGCGGCATCGGTTGATATCTTTAAGAAGCATCTTAAAACCTATCTGTATAGGCAGGCATTCTTTAACTTGTCTTAAGTGATTTAGTTTTGCAACAACTGTTTCATTTTTGTGTCTCTGTATGTGACCTGTGACCTGTATGTATGTATTCTTGTTTGTATTTTAATCCTGTGAAGCACTTTGTGAGTCCTCTCTGTGAAAAGTGCTATATAAATAAATTTTACTTACTTACTTACTTATGACACGGACAGGCTGCAGAAGGCTGGACTGTCTGCGCAGGTTGTGCAGACCATCCAGGCAGCAAATGCGGGATCCACCACTGCTTGTTACAAGGCAAAGTGGGAGGGGTTCCCAACACTGGTGTGAAAAAAGGAGGCTAGGTCCCCTGTCATGTGCAGGGGACTTTATTCTTTCCTTTTGGCAGTGTCTGATGGATAGAGACTGTCACTTTCCACTTTTATAGTGGATGCAGCAACAATTTCTTCCTGACATAAGAGTTTGGAGACAGACCAGCCTTTGCCCACCCTCTTGTGAAGCGGCCATTGGTGCTTAAGGCCTTGGTGAAGGATCCAGTCGAGCCCTATGGAGCACTCTCCTCTGCAGACACTGTCATTCAAGACAGCTTTGCTGCTTGCGCTGACCTTAGCTAAGACAGCGTATAAACTTAATGCCCTGTCGGTGCACCCCAGTTGCTTGTTGCTTCATAATGACCACAGTGGTGCTACTCTTAAGCCAAATCCTCCTTTGTTCCCAAGAACTCAAGGAGTTCATTCAGGTCAAGAGTTATACAGTTTATTTATTTATTTTTTCTTCCTTTTTTTTTCTTGCCACCCTGCCCACCATGAGCCCACGATGAGGTGGGCAGGGAGGCAAAATTGCATCTGTGCAGTTCGTGCATTGGCATGTTATGCTGTGAATGTATGGCCCCCATCAGATACACTGAATAGCTGTTTGTGTGCTTTGGTGATGGTGTGGCCGGTATGGTCCCTTTTCAAGAAATGCCTTGTGAGATGGCTTTGTGAGTGCATCTCCTCCCATCTCTCCTAAGCCTGCAGACAGGTGGGAAGAGACCCTCCTAATGTGGTCTGCGCGCACTCTACATGTGGTGTGGCCTTCTTTGTTGGGGTGATTTTCAAGGACATATGTATGGTGGCATTGTGGTCTACAGCTTCCAGTTCATACGATTCTATCTCTTGGACATGTCAGGCCTCGTTTCAGGGTCTGTGCTCACTGGAATGACACAGGACTGATGAAAAAGGTTGGGTGTTAAGTGTAATGTGACCAGGCTGCACCATCTGCTGGTAACTTGAACAGCAAGCTCCTCATCTTTATGCTCTCTGTGTAATCCCTGTTGACTCCTCAAATGCAGATGTGCACACATGTCCCTTCAGATGGTGAAAGCCTAATTCAATGGTAGAAAATCCTGCAAAGAAAGTCACTATTCCAGCATTGGCAACACCTGCATACACTCTAAAGCAACCCAAAATAGGAAGATGGACTTATCAGTCTGTAAGAGAGTCAGTGTCAACAAAGCACTTCAGAGATGGAGTGAAAATGTTGCATGTCACATACTTTTAATGTTCATCTTTAAGACTTCTTCCTCCTAAGCGTTTGTATGTGTGTGCTCAGGTGGGAGGTCACACCATGCTGCCTATCCGC